TGAACACGATATCTTTAACAGGTTTTAATGGATTTGGATAAAATTTGGTAGGCTTATCTATCAGATTAATCTCTCAAAAATTACCAAAAATTTATTTTTTTAATTGAAAAAATTTTTAAATAAAAAAATTTAAGGTAATATATAATATAATCGTCTTCCTTACACCAAGACGAATCGATTGGTTATAAAGTATAGATTTGATTAAAATTTTAAGAATTAATAAAAATTGAAAATTTATGTTTTAGCTAAAAAATTTAGTGTTTTTTTAAATTCAAGTTATAATACATGAAATAATTGAATTCCTTTGCATTGAAATAAATCGATTCGTATATATAAAGTATATGTTACAACCCAAAATGAATTAAAATTTGCCTAATTTTTCAAAAAATTTAATTAATTTAAATCAGTTTTTAACTCGAAATGTTCTAAATCAATCAATTGATTAGAGAAATTCATAGCTTCCTCCACGAGGAAGCAAAATGTTTATAAAATAAACATAAACGGAATTCACTAAAGCTCTTCGTGAATTCAATCCAATTCATGTCAATCCTTTTTCGTTTACTGGGTAACCTGGTTAGGTGGATTTTCCACTGCATCGAAAGAGGATTTCCAGTGACAAAGAATAAACTGTTGTATGATCACAATAAAAAAATACACCTTTTATTAATAATAAGCCAGGACGCAGTTGGTTTGACGCTTTTTTGAAACGATACCCAAAACTTTCACAAAGAATTGCCGAAAAATTTATAACGTAATTCTGTGATTATTATTATTAGTTCTAGGCTTAAAAATATGATTTTTTTAACTTTGGTAAAATCATCTCAGAAGTGCAATCAAGAAGGGGGGGAGGATCTCCAGGAGTGAGCCAAATGTAATTATCGCTCAGCGATTGGTTAGTTGCTTTTTATTATTTTTAATTTTATATTATAAACAGTCAAAAAATGTCGAATTCCTGCAGATTATATTGCAGATTCCTACCTACACAGCACAATATATTGCTGTAAGCTTACCTCAAGATTACATGTAATTTTTGTAAGCTAACCCTGTAAGCTTCAGGTAAGGTCGAGGTAATATAAAAATGTCCGCCATACAGTAAGCTTACACAGTAATGCCATGGTAAACTTACATGGTAAAGTCATGGTCAGCTTACATGGTAGGGGCACTGTAAGCTTACACGGTAAGATCACTGTAAGCTTACACGATAAGATCACTGTAAGGTTACAGTAAGCTTACACGGTAAGTTTATATTAATTGCTAACAAATAACAAAGTATTAATTTATCAACTTACAGTAAATAAATTGTTTTGCACAATTATATTTATTTTGTCATTTATATAAAAAACCCCGGTAGGGTTTGCTTAAAAAAACTTACTGCGCATTCGTAAGTGCCATAGAAAGCTACTGCGCATACATAATTTTAAAAAATTATTTATTGATACCTTTGAAAACTTGTCGTGTAAGCTTACTGTAACCTTACAGTGACTTTGCCATGTAAGTTTACTATAGCCTTACTGTGTAAGCTTACTGTATGGCTGACCTTACCTGAAGCTTACAGGGTTAGCTTACAAAAATTACATGTAAGCTTGAGGTAAGCTTACAGCAATATACTGTGCTGTGTGGGTATATTACCAACAGTCGGTAAATTGTGAATTCTTGTCTTTCTTTTTTATCTATTAAAATAACCATTAGTGTTTTTTAATGTTTAATGTACGATTTCAAAATCCACGTGTAAGTAAGTAGTATATATTTAAAAATGTTATAATATTTATTTTTCTTATAACTTCTATCTTTTTGTAAGTAAATAATATTTTATCAGTGTCACTGTATCTTAAATAAAAGATAATATTATGTATACAAAACGACTAATAGCACAAATAATTCTTCGCAAAAATCAATAAAAGTATTTCAAAATTGCTTTACATAGATTATGTAATAGAGACTCAAAGAACATTCAAAGAATTTAATTTAAAAAATTTAATAAATGTCTTCTAACATTTTTTTTATATTTAAAATATTTAAACACATCAGAGAAAGAAATTAGTTGCGACAGCTAAATCGATTACTATTATATAGATAACAATTATTTTTAGCTGACGCACTAATAATTATTTTTTTCCTGACTATTTTAATGATACAGCTAATAATTTGCTTACATCTACACGCAGAGAAAAAGTTAATTTGACTTAACCAAACAGTTTAATTAACCTATTCTTTTGACATAATTAAAAAGTTTAGTTGATTTAGTTAAACGCAAGAAATCATCTTGTTCATTCAAATCAAATTATTCTATTGAATAATTTAGTTGAATCGACCAAACGTTTATTTATAACTGTATAGCAATGCATGTATTAGGTTAAGAGCATTTGAACCTTCGTGACGTCACAAATCATGGCGCATGACACGCAAACTTCTCAGGTATGTGAAAAACACAATTTTGAATATTTTTTAAAAAAACCTTTTGGAAAATGTTCAGAGAAACATAGACTATGTCTGTTATGTGCGAAAAATTCAAAATTTTGCGTATAAAACGTTTTTTAAACAATGCCTACATATAAGCAATTCATGTATTTTTCCTTACTTGTGACAACCAACTTAAACATTGTTTAAAAAACGTTTTATACGCAAAATTTTGAATTTTTCGCACATAACAGACATAGTCTATGTTTCTCTGAACATTTTCCAAAAGGTTTTTTTAAAAAATATTCAAAATTGTGTTTTTCACATACCTGAGAAGTTTGCGTGTCATGCGCCATGATTTGTGACGTCACGAAGGTTCAAATGCTCTTAATATTCAACCAAAATTTAGTTGTTTCAAACAAATTTTTCTCTGACAATGAGTGTAATGAATAGTTAGCTATTTTCCCAGATAGCACGTAAGTTTGCAGTAGCAAGCTTGTGGCCACGAAGTAATAATAAGGAGCTGGAACTCTATGGGCGATTGCCTGGCAAAAGCGTGCCGGTTTTCTAGGCATAGTACTTAGCAACTAGAATAAACGACAGTGGCGTTCCTTGCGGGTACTTGAAGAAGTTTAATGTTTCCAAGTTTGTTTGTCGTCTGCTTCACTGACAGCACGAAGGCTGACAAAATATAATTTAAACCGAAACATATAAAAGTGTGTTTTAAATATTTATTTTTAAGAAAGTTGTAAAAGTTTTATATATAATGAGTGTAGAAGAAGGGAAGAAATTCGTAGACGTAAGTATTTAATGTGATTACGTTTTGAATTAAAGTAAACAAAGTTGTAATTAATGTTTTCTGCAATGTTTGTTGATAGTTTTTCATTAAAGTTGTTATTGCATTGGTGAAAATTTATTCTTTTAGTTTTCAGTGTTATAAATTTTAATAAAATAAAAAAAGTGAAAATAAGTAAATGATGCCTGCAAATAATTTTTTTTTCGTTTGTAGGTTATGGTGCAGTGCCGTTTGGAAGAAAACCAAAATTTCGAGTTATTACAAGATAATTTGATGTCAGTACATCTTCCGTCAAAAAGCTGGGGTTATACAAGAGGAAATAAATTTTTTCTTGGTTTTGAGAAGGCTGAGAAAGAAGCATTGATTCGAAAAAGAATTGTATTAAGAATTTTCGACATTTATATTATTGTATATATGTTGAAAGAATGTGATTTTTACAAAAGAAATAAATTGTATATTATTTTTTAAGAATGTAGTTTATTTTAAATATTTTTAAATAAATATTCAATGTACTTTAAACATTTTCGAAGATACAGTAATTTTAAATTATAATTTAAACCAAAAACAAACAAAATGGCGATAAACACATTTCACTATTGATCACGTGATCATCCGTGATTCCACAATTACCCGCAAGGATCGCCACTATCGCTTATTCTAGCTTCTAAGTACTTTACCAAGGGAATCGGCACGCATTTTGCCCACGAGTTCCAGCTCCTTATTATTACTTCGTGCTTGTGGCTAGATTATCATGCAAGTTTTGTATAAGATTGCGGTCACAGAAAAAACCTGAATTCAAATTGAGTATAGATTCTATACTCAATTTGATTCGCAACAAAAATGAAACTGGTTGTCTCATTTCGAGTTCTAAGGTAAAAGTATCAAAATGAAACAGGCAAGTTTCATTTTGAGAAAAAGAAAAATCGAAAAATATTGTGAAATAACGAATAGTTTTGCACAAAAACATGAAAGATAATAATTACAAAGAAGTAAATAACACGCTAGACTTAATATATTTGATTAAAAATTGCTTGTAATCGCGTAATAAAATAATAAAGGAAATATGTTTTTAGGTTAGAAAAATGAAAACATGTGTTTTGACAACAGGAACGGTACTGCCAACTTAAATAATAGCGGTAAATTTAAAAACTTATGAAATTAATTATTATCTACGTAAATAATAATAAATAATTTTTATTTAAAAACTTCTAAATATTCGTACTGGTCAAAATAATCTTTCAGGTGTTGTTGAAATATTAGAAACAATAATTGAAATACAAAATTACTCTGCTTATGATGCCAACTTAGAAATCTGAAATTCCAGCCAATATCATTTTGAATAACATGAAGTTTGTCCCATACTCATTTCGATACCCAAAAGAAAATGAGTTGCAACAAAAATGAGTCCAAGTTTTTTCTGTGCGTGCAAACTTGCCACAAGCTTTAAATCTCTTATACCCTTAAGGGTCAGTCCATAAACTACGTTACCACTTCTTCATTCTTTTTAGACCCCCTCCCAACCCTCGTTACCATTGCGTTAAATGCATTTTTTTAGATTTTTTGACCCCCTCCCCCCTAAAATAGGTAACGTAGTTTATGGACGGCCCCTAACAGCATCGGTTTATCCGTTTATCCCAAGGACATCCGTATAGGATATCTTGAACATCCGGATGCTGTAAGGGACCTATATGGCAAGCTTGCAACAAACTTGCGCAACAAGGTTGCTTTTAAACTTGCAGAAAGTTTGATATAAATAATGTTATATTTTCTTAATTATTGGTATTATCAATAAATTATAAATATCAAATTAATTTATTATTGAAATTGTTTATTGAAATGAAATATAATTAAGTATAATCATGATAAAACACTGTATTAGATCTCTTTAATTCTTTAATTTTTGTCATAATATTTTGTTGACTCTTCAATATTTCATCAGAATTGTAAACATATTCTAAAGTTACTTCATTATATGTACCGTATAAAGACGAAGATAGGCTTCTAATATTAATTATTTTAAATTTAGTATCAGGAAGTAGGACCGTGTCAAATTTTTCTTCAAAATGAAGTTCTTCAATAGATGCTCTCAAATATTGTCCTTTGAAATTTATTTTATAAAGTATTTTTTTACTTTCATCGTCTGCAAAAGAATAATTTGGTGGTATTGTTTTCGATGCTAAAATAAATCTTCTAAATATGAATTCAATACCAGTCTCTAAAGACATTGCCGTCCATGCATTTTTAGACTTTAATTCCCATGTGTACAAAATTTTTGTGAAATTTTCATCAGAATCATCTAATTGCCTAATTGCTATTCTGTATAAGGCGTTCTTCATTCGCCTAGTTATATCTGTACTTTTTGTCATGTTTTTATATCCATTGAACAAAAAAAAATTTATTGCCAAAAAGTCCTCGAATTTTACTAACTCATATGCAGAAAATCTATCGTAAATTTCAACAAGATTTTCCAATGCATCATTGATGCCAAGTAGTTGCATTTGCACCGATGAATAAAGCTGATTGATTCTGCTTTCTAATTTGGAATGTATTACAACTGATTTATCAACGTATTTAGCAAATTTCAATTGAAAGAAAAGTTCAGGCTCATTTATTTTATATTTTGCACACCATGCGGGTGCTTCTAAGTTTTTAGTATTCAATATATCATCTATAAATTTGATTGCGTTATCTTGATTTGGAAAATTGTACTGTTTAAATTGTTTAAGAACTGCTTCCTTTGGCATTTTTTTATTTTCTATTATTTTTAAAATTTGCAACTCTTCACGTTGAAAGTGATCTCGAAGTTTATGTTTTCTATCTGCTGTTGAAATGTGTTTAACGTTTTTGTCAAAAGAAGAGGGAGTATGAACTATTTTTGGTTGAAATATATTATGCTCGAGAATTAATTTCGGTCCATAAGTTTTTCCAGTCAATACATCAAATGCTGAATATTCATTAGCTCCTATTTTTATCACTGGTTTTTTAGCATTTGAATAAGGAATTGATCTTAATGTCGCTTTAAATTCTTTATTAGTAATTTTAATATATTTATATCCGGAATTTAAAAAATTTGATGTACTTAGAGAATTAACGTAAACATCAGCTTTATCATATAATTGATTAAGTTTTTTTGAAATAATTGTGGGAATTTCTCTTGCCCTTGCCAGCAACAATTTGATAGATTCAAAAGAGATAAGATTTTTTATTTCCGCAATATTCAAGAGCATTTTCATTATTTTAATGCTTGATTTAGATAATAAATATATTAATTCAAATCCAGGATCTATTATACGAAGTAATTCTTTTCCTACTTTTAGTGCAATTTTTTTTGTAAATATCCCTGAAAATTGTTGTCCAACTGTTCGCGCTGTAAATTTTAATGTCGATTGAAATGATAATCTTAATGTAACAGTTCGTATTGTTAGTCCAACTGAAGATAAGAACGCTCGAAGTGTTGACGACATTAATTTTAAACTAATACCGGACAAAGTACCTATACCGGGAATTAAAAATACTGCGTCCATTAGACATGATATTGGAATAGTTTGTTCTTTTATTTCTGTTATACATGAGTAAAATGGAAGAAGAGAAAGAGAAAATTCAATCCAAAAATTTGTCTTCTCTTTTACGTGATGTGTTTCGATTATATTTAAATTTTCAAATAATGTAGTAGATCTTTTACTTGCAATTGCATTTGAAAAATCATCGAATGTTTCAATTGTATTTTTCAAACGTATAGCAGTAGATTTTGATAAATCTAAATTAAACAAAGGTTCTACAAATATTTCAGGATTATTGATTTGACTATATAATTTTAATTTTAATTCTGTTCTACTTAAAATATAGTATTCAACTGTATTGTTAAGATAATCAAACATTAAGAAATCGTCTTTACTTGTATTATTGAAATCATCACATATTATTTTATAAATAATAACCGTTAAATTATTTATCGTTTTTATAAATGTCTCTCCAAATTCTTCATAAATTGAATTATTTTCAAAATTGTAATGCTTGTATTTAATATTTAAATTCTGTTCCTCAAATAATTCGTTTAAATTAGGTAATACTATTTGTTCTTCTTTGTCATTTGTACAAAAACTATTGTTAGGAATTGCCTGATAATTTTCAATTTCATCATTGTTTATATTTAAACAATTTTCTTCTTGCATAATAAATGTGGCTAAAGCTGAATGATTTTTATACTCGTACAGAGATAAGTAAAATTGTTGTTTATAATCTTCTTCTTGAGATTTTTTTACCATAGCAAATGTATTACTTAAATATTTGAACAAATAATCGTAAGCTAGTGACCAGTAATAAGAGTCTGCAACTATGTCTTTTGTATCAATTAATTTAACAAAATCATCTTCAATAAAAAGATAATAGCAAAGAGCAGAAAATGAAAAAATTCTCATTGCTTCCGGTTCCAATTTATCTACAGTGACTGCATGCTCTATTGAAAGTGCTATGCCTATATATTGTTGATACATGATATCTGCTTGAGTTTTATTATTAACATCGTACAAATTTTTTTCATAAACATCTTTATCAATTAATTTCATTGATTGTACGAACGATAAACCTGATAGAGCATAAATATATTCAACTGAAAAAATATTATGATTTCGATCAAGTTGTAAAAAATGTGGATCAATTAAATTATGCATAATATAATTAATTGAATTAATCATCAACATTGAATTTGGACCATCTTCATTCTCAAAAGTTAATAAACTAAGTCCTAAGTAAGACTCCTCATGAATTTTCAAAGTGCTTGTGAATTTAGTTTTACGTACAATGTATGCTAAATATCCTTGTACATTGCCGTAATCTTCAAAAACAAAAATTTCAACAATATGATTAATTAATGCAGTCATATAATATTCATCTAGAATTTCATTGGGCATTTCTCCATATAAATCACTGTTTTTTAATATTGCCTGAGTCAATAAGCTTTTGCCAATTCTATCATAAGAATTATATTCCAAATAGTGAGAAAGAGCATTGACTATTGGTATTTGTTTATATTGATCTACTTCAGACAAGAAATGATTCTCAAATAAATAATCACTGAGAGCATTAATACAATTGTATATAGAAATTATTTGAATTACCTCAGGTGGACTCAATGATTTCAGTTCATTCATTTTTTAGTGATTAATCGTTAGAAAATTAAATTCGAATTCTGAAAATAAAAAAACGGGAAATATTATTAATTATTTCATTGTTATTATCTAATATTATACACTAAAAAATATTCCATTGAAAGTAAAAATGCTTTATAATTTTATAAATTTTAATTTGTCATATTTATATATCTGTTTGAATATATTAAAAATTTACTTTTCTCTGTGACATGCATAATTTCCTATACTTCCTCGAAATCGGAATGTACGCTAAATTCGTTGTACATTCGTTACACATTGGTTAAACATTTAGTTGGAGTGAAAATTGTGTAGAAACTGAGTGGAAACTGTGGAAAAGTGTAATGGAATTGAATAATAAAAGTATTTATAGTGATAGATTTGTTCTGTATTTGTGATAAATTAACGTGTTATTATTAAATAAATAAAGTTTAAAGTGTAAAATGTTCGCGTAAGTGAGTTTGACAGGCTAGGGAATTTTCTAGTGACATCCAAATTGATAGTCGATAAAGAAGTTGAGCCGCCGACTTTGCACGATAGGTGGCAGCATTCATACTTTCTCCTTTTTAAAATTTCTCTTTTTCAATTGTAAATAGAAAAATTAATTAATTAATAAGTTATATAGTTTCTATGTTGTCATTTTTTTAACAATTGAATTTTTGAAGATTGTTTAATGAGATAAATTAAACTTGTATAATCGATGCAAATTGTTGTTTTTTAATTAAATTCAATTAAATTAATTTAATCATAATTTTAATAAAGAAAACTTTTTTTATCTTTCTCTATTTTATTATTATTTATTTTTAATATAAATGTAATTAAAAGAAAAGATTTAATTTATGTCATTAAACAATCTTCAAAAATTCAATTGTTAAAAAAAATGACAACATAGAAACTATATAACTTATTAATTAATTAATTTTTCTATTTACAATTAAAACAGAGTATTTTTAAAAAGGAGAAAGTATGAATGCTGCCACCTATCGTGCAAAGTCGGCGGCTCAACTTCTTTATCGACTATCAATTTGGATGTCACTAGAAAATTCCCTAGCCTGTCAAACTCACTTACGCGAACATTTTACACTTTAAACTTTATTTATTTAATAATAACACGTTAATTTATCACAAATACAGAACAAATCTATCACTAAATACTTTTATTATTCAATTCCATTACACTTTTCCACAGTTTCCACTCAGTTTCTACACAATTTTCACTCCAACTAAATGTTTAACCAATGTGTAACGAATGTACAACGAATTCAGCTTACATTCCGATTTCGAGATCCGCCAGGGTAACATTACATTCATAATCAGCGTATTTTTTTCTATTAAAATTGCCAAAAAATTAAAATTCGATTTTTTGGTAGATAAGCATCTTTTTTTTAAATCGCGATCGCAATATTAATATATTTTGTGCAACACCAACAAAAAAAAACGCTACTTTACTTTAACGCAAATGCAGTACAAAGTTGTTGATTTTTGTATTCTGATAAAGCAAAGTACACTGTTTTGCACACTTTAAGGCATATATTAGGCAATATAATCTTAAATTTATTCTTTAAAACAGCATATAAAATAGCATTTCTCCAACGCCTGCTCTGAAAGTGCAACTTTCTTAATTAGAAAAGTATTTGGGAAGTTGAACATTTATTAACTCTTCGGCCAAGGAGTAAAAGTAAATTTGGCGTGGGGAAAGTAAATCGTAATATTTTTTTAGTTTTTCTTTGATCTGAGTAATCTGATTTGACTGCATGCAGGATTAGATTTCTTTGTGTTTTAAGGCCAGGTCCAAGTCGTGTCAGCTGTTTCATTGAAACTTCAAAGGAACAGCTGACTCGACTTGGACCTGGCCTTAAAGAAATGAAATAAATAAAAGAACTTATTACTAGCGACATCTAACGTGACTTAAACGAACTGCGTGATTAAAGTTTTAACTCTGAGTGTGCTCAGCTAATTCACGAAAACAACCATAGTGTTGTTTAGTACAAAAAATAGTGTTGACAATTTTGTTCTTGTTTTTCGTTTTAATTTTTGTGACAAGATAGACTTTGATATCGATGACGATATTAGTGATTTAATAGATAATTTAACTCAACCTGAAGAACGAAACGAGGCTCTTAATGCAGAAAAGGATCTAATTTCGGAAAAGTCACGTGGAATTCTTCCTAATTAATAAAAATGCATTTCCTCGCGAGGCGTTGGAGAAAACGTCGTATGAGACACGTGGGAAAGAATGATTTTTCTCGAGTGATTGCTACTCTCGCTGCACTCGAGCAGCAAACTTAACTCTCGAAAAATCATCCACTTTCCCCACTAGTTGCACAATGTACTATTTTCTTGCAGATGTTGCCCAAAGCAATGTGTGCAACTCGAGCGGAAAGTAGCATTTTCCAACGAGATTGACTGCTGCTCTCGTTTCGCTCGAGCATCAACTTACAAAAACTCGCCGGAAAACTGCTTCTTTCCACTTTCGTTGCACAATGTACTATTTTGAAATATTTTTTTGTTCTTATATTGTAATTTGCATGCACACAATGGTCTTTACTATAAAAAATAAATTTAAATATAACTTACCACTTTTAGTTTTTTTTTATATCGAATATGAGAATTTAAAGAAAGAAATAATTAAATTTGTTAGAATAATCAGTATAGTGTTAATTAAGATTTGTATTTTTAATTATTCTTAGTTTAGAAAAGTGTTATATTCTTAAACTTCTCTATCACTATGACAATTTTTCTTCAGTATTATATATATATACAGCTGTAATAATTTGACCTATAATAGTTATTGTAATCTAATTTCAATATTTACAGAATTATATTATTTAAAACGTGGAATCTTAATGTTTTAAAGTCACGTACGACAATAATTATTGTTCTCTAAAAACGATATATACTGAAAAAAATATAATAGTTAAACTTTCATTACAAACTGAATAAATACTCAGTTAATAAGGTATATATTATAATATTTTATTTAAAACAAGGGAAAAGAATTGATCATTGGTTCTCTCGGTATATCAGTCTGTTAAGGTGAAGAATCAATCACATAAACTTAAAAGTAAATTCTCAAAATTAATGTTTTGAATTCAAATTAAAAAGGAGTTAAATTGGATTAATAAAAATCTAAATCTATTCCCTACGCACACAAAAATAAGTATTACGTGTAGTTTATATATAGTGTTATTTTAACCGTTTTGTGTTAAAATAACACTGGCTAATATAAGATAATTATCACGTGGCTGCTAGCTTTAAATTTATACTTTTATTAAAATACTTAAATTTTAGATAATAAATATTCAATATTTATATTTATTTTTGAGTGAAATGACACTTCGTTTAAGGGACACTCTCTAAAACTGAATCAGTCATATTTTACTGATTAGCAGTAGAAATCTACTAATTACCATAGCGAGAATTGAGCAACTGAGCCTCCGGAAAGTAAAACCACACATAGAATTTCCACGGGCGTTTGAGTTGGCCCCTGATGATTAAAAAATCGATTTTCAAAAAATGCAATTTCATGATCACTATCTTATAGGAAATTTTATGGCGCATCTTTTTTTTCTTATGAAAAAAATTCATAACTCTTACCAATTTCGAGAAAAATGCAAAAAACTGTTTTTTTTGAAAACACAAATTTAATTAAATTTTTCACTTCAACTCGCTGGCAAATGAAAAGTTATGAATATTTTTGGATGAAATTTATATGGGATATAGTTTAAACTATCCTAAAGACAACAAACTTTGAATAAACGCAAATTTTTTCATTTGAAGAAAGTTAATATATTTTTTTATTGAGCAGTGTAAAAATTATGGTTTTCAAACTGCAGGCACTAGGTTTATCTGAAAAATTTTCACTTCGGAAAAACTTCCAGTGAAGAAATTGTTCATTAAGGTGTAATACAGATTTTTGTAAAATAGTTTTACAATCCGATTAACCGTTTAGAAAATATAAGTGAAAAACTATTTTCCGTCATCTGCGCGAGAGTCAACAATTGGCCGTTTCCACGGAGCAAGGCACGTTGCCGTCACAGCGGTCTCAAGGTCATTTTTGTTTACTATAATATGTACCAGAAGTCTTTTAACATCTAACTAATGACTTTCAAGAATGTAAAAAAAGTATTCTTTTTATTTAATTTTGGATAAGCAGTACGTAAATTCTTTTTTAAAAAAATGTCTGATTTCATCAGAAGCTCGGATCTTGGTAGAAAGAGACTACAGAATAAAGAATCTTGGTTAGATAATTTGCGAAAAATAAAAAGAAATAAGGTAAGTGAAGTTTCATTTTTTTCAATAGAAAATCTTTAGTGTTATTTATTGAAATTTATTTTATAATTAAATTTTTTAAATTAGATTGTGAATATATGAAGAAATTAGACTAAAATCAAAGTTTTACAGGTTTAAATAAAAATATTTTTTTTAAATGAAAAATATTCTACTAATTATTTTTTTAAATGTAAAATGTTTAATTAATTTTTTTAAAATAGTATTATGTCAAAGACTTAAAAAAAATCGTGTATTGTTTTTTCAATTAACAATACTAAATTTTTTTGAAACAGGAGTGCTGTGATTTCAAAAAACAGTATTACGCTTATACTGTTTAAGACTGCTGTTTAATCAAAAATGTAATAGGGTTAAGAAATAAAAAATTTTCTAGAATACATAAATAAATGTTACCTTTTCTATAGTAAGTAAATCCAAATGACCTTGAGACCGCTGCGATGGCAACGGGCCTTGCTCCGTGGAAACGGCCAATTGTTGACTCTCGCGCAGATGACGGAAAATAGTTTTTCACTTATACTTTCTAAACGGTTAATCGGATTGTAAAACTATTTTACAAAAATCTTTATTACACCTTAATGAACAACTTCTTCACTGGAAGTTTTTCCGAAGTGAAAATTTTTCAGATAAACCTAGCGCCTGAAGTTTAAAAACCGTAATTTTTACACTGCTCAATAAAAAAATTATTAACTTTCTTCAAATGAAACAATTTGCGTTTATTCAAAGTTTGTTGTCTTTAGGATAGTTTAAACTATATCCCTTATAAATTTCATCCAAAAATATTCATAACTTTTCATTTGCCAGCGAGTTGAAGTGAAAAATTTAATTAAATTTGTGTTTTAAAAAAAAACAGTTTTTTGCATTTTTCTCGAAATTGGTAAGAGTTATGAATTTTTTTCATAAGAAAAAAAGATGCGCCATAAAATTTCCTATAAGATAGTGGTCATGAAATTGCATTTTTTGAAAATCGATTTTTTAATCATCAGGGGCCAACTCAAACGCCCGTGGAAATTCTATGTGTGGTTTTACTTTCCGGAGGCTCAACTGACAATTAGTAGAATTTTACTGATTCAATTAGTAAAATATCAGTTACGGATTGAATCAGTAATATAAATATATGGCTGCGGTCACAAAATCTACTGATTTAATAGTTAATTTTAAAGGTTATATTATATATGCAAATTACTGATTTACATAAGTTATTTTCTATTGGTTGCATATTCACTAATTATATTAGTAAATTTCAAAAAATAACTGAAACTTCAGTTAAAATGAAAAGTACTGATTGAATTAGTAAAATTTCTACTGATTCAGATTTAGAGAGCACACCCAGAGAAATGATATATTTATTTTAACTAAAAATGTATATTTAAAATTTTTTTATTTGTTACAAATAAATTTTTTATTTAAAAGAAATAAACTGATATTTAATCGAAATATTTGTGGTTTATTCTCAGAAATATATAAAATTATTTGCATTTAATACAAAATGTTTATTTGTAAGAAATAAATGAATATTTGATTCAAATATAAGTATATTTGGTGCAATAATGCACGCCTGCGCAACTCGCTTCACTGTATGTATATCGTCTGCAGATCTCCGCCGCGATGGTGTGAATTTATCGTGCAAAAAAAATTCGTCGAATCTTAATTAAAGGTAAGATCAAAACATATTTCTATTTAACAAGCAATTAAATTAATTTAATCTAATATGTTTTATTTATTTCGTTGGGTATTTTTGGCGTCCCAACGAATAATATGCAGTCGTCTGTTCAAACACGATTTTAACACGAGGCATTCGTAACTTTCAGTATTTTTTATATTTTTAAATTGATAAACACAATAGAAACTTGGTTAACAATTTTTTAAATTTAATGGAAAAATTAATTGAATATTGGCGATTCAAACAGCTACACTAGCGCCACAGTTGAACTAACTTAGGCGTGACTCGCTCTGTAGCACTCCATGTGTTTTAAATTATTTTTTTTTATTTAACGCTTAAAAATTATTTTACAAACGCAATAAAAATATCAGAATAATTAAATAATTTGAAATAAACTGTCACAACAGAGACTGCTTTAGAGCGAGTCACACCTAAGTTAGTTCAACTGTGGCGCTAGTGTAGCTGTTTGAATCGCCAATTAATCATATATTATTATCTTTTTTGAAAAAGTTTTTATTTAGTTTGTCGAAGAACATAAGAACAGATTTCGCGCCTGAGTACTGCAGGAGGCATTAACATTATTTATTGACATTAACAATTTTTTTTATTTGTCCTAAATATAAATATATTTGTAACAAATAAGAAATTTATTTGAATCAAATAAAAAATATATTTAATTTAAATATACGAATTTAAATAAAAAATTTTATTTGAAACAAATAGAAGTTTAATAGGCTCTGAGACAAATATTTTTTTTTATTTAAGTCAAATAAATTTTATTTAATTCAAATAAATCATTTCTCTGGGTGCAATAAACTCGTTAAATAACAGTTGTATCAAATGAGAATTCGGTTGCCAATAGCAAATTTGATAATTTTATTTAAATGAAAATTATAAATATTATAATACAGAAAACGTAATTAACTTTCAGTTTTGAAAAAACTATGAAATAAGTAGTTTAAAGATTTTGTGAATAAAATTCATTTCATGCACAGCCTGTGTAATAGTGTTTTTATAAGCTCACATGCTATGATGGTTGCTATTTTATAGGCGTTACTATATTATACAAGAAAGTACAATTTTTTAAGAAATATTTTAAAAGGATGAAAAAATTTTATAATTTCTAGTTTTATTATATTAATCCAATTAATAATATAAAAATTACTTTTATTTATTTAAAAAAAATATGATACAGAATCATATTTTTATCGATAATGCAATCATATATTTTCTTAAATAAGTTATTATCATCAACATTTATTATTGATTACAATTATTATTTTATTTTACTCACGGTTTTAGTAAGAGATATGTATTTGTTAACTACTCCAAGAGCTGATGAGCGAATAAAGATTAAGAATTCCAGTCAGTCTCTTATACTTCAAATCTTATTCTTCATCAACTCTTTTTAATTGAGTTATTAAAGTCTAATTGCATTGATTTTATATTGAATGTGATTCTGGAGCATTCACACATATGTATATAGGTATCAGTATATTCTGATCATCATTTTTTATCTGATGAGCCTGTCACAATATAATTCTAATTTAATTCTCAATTATTAAAGAAATAATAATAATAATAATAATAATAATAATGTCATAAGAAACATTAAATATAATATAATATACGGAAAATTTAAGTATGAACATAAAAAGAAATATCTTACTTTCAGAAGAGATCTTAAACATCTTAATGTCTTAAAAATGCTACCAAAACATCTTAAAATAAGATACTTCTTTTTGCAGTGAATATTCTTTATTCCA